GTGTGTGTGTGTGTGTGTGTGTGTGTGTGTGTGAAATCCAGCCGGGCGCCAGTGGCTCATGCCTGTAATCCTACTTAGGAGGCTGAGATCTAAGGATTATGATTCAAAGCCAGCACAGGAAGGAAAATCTGTGTGAGACTCTTATCTCCAGTGGCACTATGGCTTAAGTGGTAGAGTGCTAGCCTTGAGCTGAAGAGCTGAGGGACAGTGCCGAGGCCCAGAGCTCAAGCCCCATGACCCACTAAATGAATAAATACATACATACATAAGTAATATATATATATATGCATATATTTTTATGCCAGTCCTAGGACTTGAACTCTGGACTTAGGTGCTCAAGGCTAGTACTCTACCACTTGAGCCTCAGCACCACTTCTGACTTTTTTTGTGATTAATTGGAGATAAGAGTCTCATGGATTTTCCTGCCCAGGCTGGCTTTGAACTGAGATCCTCTGATTCCCAATCTCTGAGAAGCTAAGATTATAGGTATGCGCCTGGCTTTTTTATTTATGTCAGTCGTGGGTCTTGAACTCTTGGGCCTGGGTGCTGTCCCTCAGCTCTTCAGCTCAAGGCTAGCACTTTACCAGTTAAGCCACAGCACCACTTCCAGTTTTCTGAGTGGTTTTTTAGAGATAAGAGTCTCAGGGACTTTCCTGCCCTGGCTGGCTTTGAACTGTGATCCTTAGATCTCAGCCTCCTGAGTTATCGATATAAGCCACCAGCACCCGGCTTTTTTTTCTTTTTTTAATTGTTATAAAGGTGATGTACAGAGGGATTACAAGACTATTACATAACTGTCTTGATTTTTCTTAGAGGCAAATCTGATTTTTTTTTTTTCAATTTAGGTTTTGGTGTCTTGAAGCTCCCACTCTGTGTCCAGCCCAGAAGAAATGCTGCCCCTACCAGATCCTTCTAGAACCAGTGACCCAAGGGCCCCTCTTTCCTTCCTGCCTAACAGTGCCTCAAAAGGCGTGGGGGCTGGACTCCCTCTACTTCCTCTGGCTATTGCCCCTCCTGGTGATGGGGTCAAGGCGGCAGGACTGACCAAGTGATTACCCATTGGCCAGAGGAGCTCAATGGAAGCCCTGGGTACCCGAGATCTGAGCTAGGAGTTCTGTGGAAACCTGGAATGAATTCCCCTCTCCTGAATGATGGTCTGGGTACCAACTATTTTAAACTTCTTATCTGGAATTCCTTAAATGGGGCAGGTAGGTGAGATTACAAAGCAGAAGTCAGCTTTGCTGAGAAGCCCCCTACTTCCCTGTACACCTCTTTCCTTCTGGAATGAGCTAAAGCAGTTATCAGGGGGCTGGAAGGGGGACCACTGCCTAATCCCCTCTTTCTCTTAAGATTTCAGATCTTAAGCTCCTCAGTTTCACTCTCCCAGTATCAGGGAGAGTTGGGCCTCTAGTTGGGCCTCTAACCCTGTATTTCTATAGCATTACTAGCATCCCAACAATGTTCCCTTTAAAAAAAAAAAGTTTTAATTTGAGCTTTTTCAATTGGCCCTATCCCGCTACTACTTCTGTCCTTAACCTCCTCCCTATTAGGAACTTCGTTAAATAAGAGGTATGAGGTGGCTCTTAACCAGATGACATTCCATTTAAGTCTTGCAGAGACTTAGCATATCCTCTGCCAACCTCCCCGCTGGCCCAGATGACAGGAGGAAGAGGGGGTGGATAGAAAGCCACAGATTGCAGAAAAACTAGGCGTGGTCTTGAAGTGGACTTCATCCTTAGGGACGGTGAGATGAGTAGGTGGGAAACAGTTATCAGAGAGTAATGACCATAAGATCTTCATAGCATGCAAGCACGGGGAGGTGCTAGCACATTACAGACATTCTTGTAATGAAGAGCTGTATCTTACAAGCTATTTAGTGGCATCCCTGGCCCATCTCAGTTAAGACAACCAAAAATATCTCCAGAAATTGTCAAATGCCTTCTAAGATAAAAATCACTTACAGTTGAGAGCCACAGCTCCAACGATGTTTCTCTTAAGTGATTTCATTCATGTTCAGCTTGACCCGTGGATGACCCAGGCCCCCTAATAGAATATGCTCAAAAGAGCTGCTCATAATCTTTATTCAGTGTATTGCTTGTGCTTGCAGGAGTTCAAGTTTCTCTGGTGGACATGTGCTATGCTTCTTTTCTTGCCCAGTGGAAGAGGGGCAGTGTGGAGACGTGACTAGGGTGTGTTGGCATTGGAGGAAGGGGAGGTAAAAGCGGCAGACATACCTTAGTTGTCTTCCCCAAGTTCTATTTCTGTGCCCTAGTCCTAGAACCAGACACAAATAAGACTCAGGGAGTTTTGTCTGAAGACCATGTCCCACTCTCACCTGGCTAGACAGTGCTTTAGATAGAAGGGAGAGCAACGTAGGAGAGCAGGGTCTTTAGGCATTTTCAGTTTTCTCAGGTGTTTTTTTGTTTGTTTGTTCTGGCCCTTTCTTTAAGGGTAATTAGGCAGAATAAGACTGAAGAGTTCCTGCCTGCTCTAAGACAAGAAATCTGGCATCATTAGCTCTGGTATAGGAAGCCTGTTTTATGGTAGTGGGGTAAGGATTGTAGGAACTGATAGTCATTCTGCTGATTCCACTGTCTGTCCAGTCTGTCCCCACCTACAGTGGCTGAGGTTCTACCATGTTTCCGGTTCCAATGTATTTCCTGCAGTTTTTAGGGTCTAAGACCGGTCATCAATTTACTCTGTTACCAATTTATTCTGTTTCATCAATCTAGGTGCTCTAAAAGCAGCCTACCTTGCCGCCCTAAAGGAGTGCACTAGACTGGAGATCTAAAGGGGTAACAGGATAGGGTAGAAAGGTGGGGGACTCCAGACCTCCAGCCTCATCCTAATACCTATTCTTTGGACACAGTCTTCTCTTTGGTGCTCTCTTGCCTTGAGCTACCTTCTCTTACGTGTATGCTAGCATCACTTTAACAATAAAGTGATAGGAACGGGTTTGAGAGTCATAATTTATATTGAAAAATTGTTAAGACTTTTAAATACATTTTTCAAATAAAAAATGTAAGCAAAATAATTGCAGAGTAATTACTACAAGTGTTGTGTTAGATTGAAAGAATTGATGTGAAGCTGGGTGCTGGTGACTCATGCCTGTAATCCTACTCAGGAGGCTGAGATCTGAGGATAGTAGTTCAAAGGTACTCAGGCAGAGGAAAGTCTGTGAGATTCTTATCTCCACCAGAAAATTGTAAATGGACCTGTGGTTCAAAGTGATAGAGTGCTAGTCTTGAGCAAAAAAGCTCAGGGACAGGGCCCAGGCCTGCGTTCAAGCCACATGACACACACACACACAAAAAAAAGGATGTGGCTGAGGAAAGTGTCTGAAGTGGAATTTTGTGCCAATACTGCCTTTTCCAGAGAGAAAGGGCCCAGCCCTGAGAAACAGCAATCTTCCAATGGCTGGAGTCTTTCCTCCTTGTTTTAAACAACCTGGGACATGAAGGTCAGAGGTTGCTGGATCTGAAATGTGGGGCTGCAAAGTATTATGGCCATCCTCAAATAGCTCTGTAAAAAAGACACAAAACCAGATTTTGAAGGGAGTGGTGGCTCAGTGGAAGAGTGCTTGTTGAGCATGCACAAAGCCTTAAGGTTGATCCCCAGCACCACCCCAACAAAAGGCACAAAACCAAGTAATTTTTCAGTTTTGTATTTTTATACGAAAAATATCTAGTGGGTGCTGGGATTGAATGGGGAGCAACAGGTTGAGATGCTGATAGCGCCTCTTGTGGGTGAAGTGGCCATTACCTCTGGTTTCTGTCTGTCTGAATATGGGGAAAAAATAGAGAAGGGAAATTATAACCATATCTATAATTTCATCCTTTCCTTGTTTCATCCTACCCTTTGACAAGTCCTGACTCCCTGGATCCGACAGCTCTCTTTATGCTTTTCTTCTTCTTTTTGTTTGCATGGAGGCTTGAGCTCTTGGTGTGGGTGCTGTCCCTGAGCTCCTTTTGCTCAAGGTTAGTGCTCTACCACTTGAGGTCACAGCACCACTTGCCACTTTGTTTTATTTTCCTGTGCTTAATTGGAGATAAGAGTCTCATGTACTTTCCTGCTCTGGTTGGCTTCAAGCCACAATCCTCAGATCTCAGCCTCCTGAGTAGCTAGGATTACAGGCAGAAACCACTGGTGCCCAGTTATGCTTCTTTTGATTTTTTCTTTTTTTTTTGGTTAGTCCTGGGGCTTGAACTCAGGGCCTAGGCACTGTCCCTGAGCTTCTTTTGCTCAAGGCTAGCACTCTACCACCTGGGCTATAACACTATTTCTGACTTTTCAGAGTATGTGGTACTGAGGAGTCAAACTCAGGGCTTCATGCATGCTAAGCAAGCACTTACCAATGAGCCACCTTCCCAGCCCAGCTATGCTTCATTTTTTTTTTTTTTTTGGTCAGTCCTGGGGCTTGAACTCTGGGCTTCGGCGCTGTCCCTGCGTTCTTCAGCTCAAGGGAACACTCTACTGCTTGAGCCACAGCGCCACTTTCGGTTTTGTAGTGGGGTTTATTGGAGGTGAAAATCTCACAGACTTTCCTACCCAGGCTGGCTTTGAACCACAATCCTCAGATCTCAGCCTCCTGAGTAGCTAGGATTATAGGTGTGAGCCAATGGTGCCTGGCTTATGCTTCTTTTTTTTATTTTTGGGTTGGGTCGTGGGGCCTGAACTCTGGGCCTGGGCGCTATCCCTCAGCTCTTCAGCTCAAGGCTAGCGCTCTACCACTTGAGCCACAGTGCCACTTACAGCTTTTTTTTTTTTTTTTGCTTATGTGGTGCTGAGGAATCGTACTCAGGGCCTCAGGCATGCAAAGCAAGCGCTCTACCACTGAGCCACCTTCCCAGCCCCTTATGCTTCATTTTTATACTAAAAATAATACTGGGCTGCCTAGCAATTCAAACTCCATTACCACCAAAAATGCCTATAAGCCAGCAAAATTACTCTGTATATATACCCTTTATTATCTCTCACATACCTATTATCCCTAGCAGTTAAGACTACTCTATCAGGTCAATTCAAACATTTATAATTCTTGGTAAAGCAAAGGACTCCTTTTCTTGAGGATTTGCATGTGTGAGTATGCCTGCACTGGGGCTTGAACTCAGGCCCTGGATGTTGTTTCTTAGCCATTTCACTTAAAGCTAGTGCTCTACTACTTAAACTATAACTCCACTTCTGGCCTTTTTTGGGGAGGGAAGGGGAACCTGACTTCCCAAGCTATGGGGGAAGCGCAGTAGCTGGACACAGTGGCCCTTATCTGTCTTCCCAGCAACAAAGGGAAGCACAGCTGGGCGCCAGTGCCCCCCAGAATCCTAGCTACTCAGGAGGCTGAGATCTGAGGATTGCGGTTCAAAGCCAGCCTGGGCAGAAATGTCTATGAGACTCTTATCTCCAATTAACTTCCATAAAACCAGAAGCAGTGCTGTGGCTCAAGTGGTAGAGCCCTCACCTTGAGCTGAAATGCTCAGGAACAGCGCCCAGGCCCAGAGTTCAAGCCTTACCACCAAAAAAACTGATAGAATAGCTCAAGAAGTAGAACACCTGCTTAGCAAGTGCAGCCCTGAGTTCAAACCTCAGTACCACACACACATAGTAAAATAAAAAGCACCAATGTTGGGAATGTGGTTTAGTGGTAGACTGTTTGCCTGGGTTCAATTCCTCTGAACCAAATAAACAGAAAAAAACAGAAGTGGCACTGTGGCTCAAGTGGTAGAATGCTAGCCTTGAGCAAAAGAAGCTCAGGGGCAGTGTCTATGCCCTGAGTTGAAGCCCCAGGACTGGCAAAAAAGAAAAAGCAAAAAAAAGCACTAACTCTGTGGTAGAGTACAGACAGCTTGCCTAGTATGTGTGGGGCTCTGGGTTCCATATCCTCAACACTAGAATAAACCAATTTAGCCTGATGGCTCATGCATGTAATCCTAGCTACTAAAGAGTACTCTATGTGTATTGTAGTTCAAAGCCAATCCAAGCAAGAATGTCCATATTTCTCTCCAAAAAGTAGAAGTGGGAGCTGGCGCACGCCTGTAATCCTACTCAGGAGGCTGAGATCTGAGGATCAAGGTTCAATGCCAGCCAAGGCAGGAAAGTCCAGGAGACTCTTCTCTCCAGTTAACTGCTAAAAAACCGGAAGTGGTGCTGTTTGCTCAAGTGGTAGAGCATTATTAGCCTTGAGCTGAAGAGCTGAGGGACAGCACGCAGGTCCAGAGTTCAAGCCCCATGACCAACAAAAAAAAAGTAGGCCAGGCGCAGGTGGCTCGTGCCTGTAATTCTAGCTATTTGGGAGGCTGAGATCTGAGGATCACAGTTCAAAGCCAGCCCAGGCAGGAAAGGCTGTGAAACTCTTATCTCCAATAAACCACCAGAAAACTGGAAGTGACATTGTAGCTCAAGTGGTAGAGTGCTAGCCTGAGCTGAAGAGCTGAGGGATGGTGCCCAGGCCCAGTGCTCAAGCCCCACAACAGACCAAAAAAAAGTAGAAGTGGGGGTGTGACTCAAGTGCATCAGCTTTGAGTGAAAAAGCTAAGGTACTGCCCAGGCCCTGAGCTCAAGCCTTAGTACTAGCACCAAAGAGTTCAGAGCTGGGCACTGGTGGTTCATGCCTGTAATCCTGAGGACTGAGGGCAGGAAAGTGCATGAAACTCATCTCCAATCAACCACTCAAAAACAAAGTGGCGCTGTGGCTCAAAGTGGTAAAGCACTAGCCTTGAGCAAAAGAGCTCGGGACAACGTCTAGGCCCTGAGTTCAAACCCAGGACCAGCATGGAAAGACAACAACAACAAAAGTAGTAGTCTATGCCTGCAGACTGAGTCTAGTTAGACTGTAGTCTAACTCTGTAGACTGAGGCAGGAGGATCATCTGAGCCCTGAAGTTCTAGACCAGATTAGACAACATACTGGGTAGATTGGCCAACAATAATATGAATAAGTAGTGCATCTTATGAATCCTTAACCAAGATAGTAAGAGTCTATGCAAACACTGTCATAGCAACAGGATTTGGTTAGTATCCCCAATTGTTAGATACTGGCTCATCATTCAAACACTTACTGGTTGCATCTCGGTGAACACTGAAGAGAGACTATTCCAGATATCTTCCAAACCATTCTTGACCCGTTTCCAAAAAGCCAGAGCTGGGCTGGGGGTGGTGGGAGGCACCGGGAGGGGTCTCCGTCGGAGGTGGATGGGGGGCAGGATGGTGGTGGTGGTGGTCCGGGAGGTGGTGGTCGTCTGAGAGCTGCAGCTGCTTTCAGCACAGAGCCCGGTGTCCAGGGGGCATTCCTCCCGCAGTCGGTTGCAGGGACATTGCTGGTAGGTGCAAGGTCGGTGCTCGGTGCGGAGCTGGCTTAGTGCTCCAACTCTGAGGCGCCCAGATAAGCCTTGCAGCTTCCCGGCCCGGCTCCGGCTCATGGTGCCCGACTTGCAATGGCAGTGCCATGGACCCCAGGGCATCAGCACCAACCGCAGATCCTCAGGAGCTGGCATGGCTGTGTGTGAAGATGATGGCCACGTCTTGGGGGTGGAGCCCGCGGTGGACCACTGGTTGAGGGAGGCCACGGAGCTCAGCAGTTCATCAGTGTACTTCGCAGTGAGGGGCGGCAGGTCTGTGGTCATCCTGATTTCTTTATCCTGACTGTTAGCTACCACCTTGCGGGCGCTGGAAGTTAACACCTTTTTGGGAGTTGTGTCGGGCGTCCCAGAGCTGGTGTTATTCTTTCGGGCATCAATCACCACCCCTTCTTCCAAAGACCCGTCCTCGTCCTCATTGGGGCTGGGGATAGCCGTCCGGCTGATGCCCGTCACTGTGGCCAGGAGCTCGGCAGCCGCCGGGCCGGCCAGGCGGTCAGCGGTGGCCAGGGCATCGTTCTCGTCCTCCAGAGTTATCTTGGGCTTCCGAAGAGTGGTCTGGTTGGCGTTGTTTGTGGTCCTGCGGCTGCGGGCTGGAGCCCCAAAGCGGAAGCTGACCCGCTGCATCCCCGTGGTCATCGTGGGAGCCGAGGTAGAGTTGCGGGCCCCCGCCGCCCGGGACCCCAGACTAAGCAGCAGGGCCCAGAGCAGCACGCAGGCGGCGGGGACCATGGGGCTGGGAGGCTTGGGGTTGGGAGGGGGCGGGTTCCTACCTTCTCTCCCTCCCTTCCACTCACCACGACCCACGCCCCTCCCCTAAGTCCTCTCCCTGAGGTGGGGCTGAGCTCAAAATCCTAGGGAACCTGGGCCAGAGAGAATTCCGAGCTAGAACCAAAAGGCGGATTGTGATGTAAGGGGATGGGACAAGGGTCGTTTACTTCCTTGATACAGACTTTATCTCTCCTCCGTTTATTAACAGTTACAGGGCAGAATTTACTAACAAAGACAAAAACACAGGCGTTCAAAGTGCTCCTTCCCAGGAGCAGAGGCGGCAGGTATATATGGGTTCTTGAGGTCTTGGGAGCGCCCTCCTGGCTCCCAGCAGGCAGGTTGGGCTGTGGTTGGCTCCTCTACCTCATCTCCCCTCAGCCCCTTCTCTTCCAGAGGTGGAAAATGAGACCCAAAGACATGAGGTTATTTGGCCAAGCTTTTACAGCTAAAGCAGGGTTGCAATCCAGAGTTTGACACTTCCAATGCTACTACAGCCAGTCAGCTTTCCATTGGGACAATGGTAATGAAAACCACTGGCAGATCAGATTCCCAGCCTCCCAACGCTCCTGGATTCCAGCAGCACCATGGAGGGAATGTCATCACAAGAAGTCAAGATGCCATAGGGTGGGGCTGGGATGGAGGGTGAGACGATTTACAAAGCAGCTCGAATGGTGCTGGGATTGATGGGTAGGCAGGTCTTTGCTTGGTTCTAAGGTCTTTTATCCACTCGTGCTAGGTTTTGCTGAGCCATGAACTTCTTGGTCCAACCTATATAAGTGAGTGGGGAAAAGAAGTGGTTTGGGGTCAGGGCTTGGGTTTATTTATTAATCTGGGGAAGGAAGGAAGATGAATTGAACAGACTAGAAGATTGGGTGCTTGAGTTATTACTTAGCATCTTTTTGCTTCCCAATACTTCCTTTTCCACTGGATATAATCTAAGCACTGTCAACATGGCCCATCCTAATCTCTAGGTTGTTCTGATTGTAAACTCTGGGCTATAATTATTCTTCAATGTCTCTGAATTTAAATATGTAATTGTTTTCATTTGTTCTTGATGAATGTAATAGTAGCCCTAATTTCTCCTCTAGGCAGATGAACATTTTCCAGATACACTGAAGCACCTAAAAGAGTTAGAGCCGGGCACCAGTGGCTCATGCCTGTAATCCTAGCTACTCAGGAGGCTGAGATCTGAGGATCACGGTTCAAAACCAGCCCAGGCAGAAAAGTCTGTGAGATTCTTATCTCCAATAAACCACCAGAAAACCAGAAGTGGTGCTGTGGCTCAAGCTGTAGAGCACTTGCCTTGAGCTAAAGAGCACAGGGACAGCGCCCAAGCCCAGAGTTCAAGTCCCACGACCAACAAAAAAAAAAAAGTTATTTAGTTCTTTTGTATCTTCCCCAAGGCATTAAAAAAGAGGGGACTGGGGCTGGAAAAGTGGCTCTGTGGTAGGGTGTTTGCCTTGCCTGCATGAGGCCCTGGGTTCAATCCCTCAGCAACACATAAGCAGAAAAAAACAGAAGTGGCGCTGTGGCTCAGGTGGTACAGTGCTAGCCTTGAACAGAAGATCAGGGACTGTGCCCGGGCCTGGCAAGAAAGAAAGAAAGAAAAGAAAGAAAGAAAGAGAAAGAAAGAAAGGAAGGAAGGAAGGAGAGAGAAAGAAAGAAGAGAGAGAGAAAGGGGGGAGGGAAGGAAAGGAAAGGAAAGGAAAGGAAAGGAAAGGAAAGGAAAGGAAAGGAAAGGAAAGGAAAGGAAAGGAGGGGACTGCTGGGTCCAGTGGCTTGTGCCTGTAATCCTAGCTACTTAGGAGGCTAAGATCTAAAGATCATGGTTTGAAGCCAGCTGGGGCAGGAAAGTCTATGAGACACTTACCTTCAATTAGCCAGCAAAAAGCCACAGGTGGACCTGTGGCCCAAGTAGTAGTGTTAGCCTTGAACAAAAAGCTAAGGGAGGGGCTGGGAAGGTGGCTCAGTGGTAGAGTGCTCGCCTTGCATGCCTGAGGCCCTGGGTTCGATTCCTCAGCACCACATAAGAAAAAAGCCAGAAGTGGTGTTGTGGCTCAAGTGGTAGAGCGCTAGCCTTGAGCTCAAGAGCTGAGGGACAGCGCCAAGGCCCAGAGTTCAAGCCCCATGACTGGACCCCCCCCCCCAAAAAAAAAAGAAGTCTCAAGGATTGGGCTGGGAAGGTGGCTCAGTGGTAGAGCGCTTGCCTTGCATGCCTGAGGCCCTGGGTTCGATTCCTCAGCACCACATAAGCAAAAAGAAAAAAAGCCGGAAGTGGCACTGTGGCTCAAGTGGTAGAGTGCTAGCCTTGAGCTGAAGAGCTGAGGGACAGTGCCCAGGCCCAGAGTTCAGGCCCCACGACCGGACCCCAAAAAAAAAAAAAGCAAAAAGCTAAGGGACAGTATCTAGATCCTGAGTTCAAGCCCCAGGACTGGCACAAAGAGAGAGGAGGGAGAGAGGGAGGGAGAAAGGAAAGGGAGGGAGAGAGGAAGAGGAGGAGAGGGGGAGGGAGAGAAAGAGAGACACTGGCTTTACACATCGCACCCCAAACCTTCATCCTTAAAGAATACTCACTGTCTGACAGCTTCAGGAATGTGGACTTGATCTAAAGAGATGAGTTGGGCTAACTCCTCCAGGCTGTTCAAAAAACGGACTTTTCGTGTGAATTTAGAACTGAAAAAAAAGAATATACAAAATATGTTTTGTACTGAGAGGCCAGTATTTGCACATCTTTATAAAGGGTTGGGCATGGTGGGGCATGGCTATAATACTAGCAGTTCAGCAGGCTAAGACAAGAGGCTAGGCCACAATCATCTCTCTCACAGACAACCAAAGGCTGTGTTGTGGCTCAGGTGGCAAAACACTTAAGTGCAAGGCCCCAGGTTCAAACCCAAGTGCAAAGGAAAATGTAGCAAATAGAATGGTGGGGAAGAATCTCCCTTTTTTTTTTTCTTTTCTTTTTTTGTCAGTCGTGGGGCTTGAACTCTGGGCCTGGGTGCTATCCTTCAGATCTTTAGCTCAAGGCTAGCACCCATTTGAGCTACAAGCTCCACTTCGAGTTTTCTTTTCCTTTTTTTTTTTTTTGTCAATCGTGGGGCCTAAACTCTGGGCTTGGGCACTGTCCCTCAGCTCTTCAGCTCATAGCTAGCACTCTACCACTTGAGCCACGGCACCACTTCCAGCTTTTTTCTGCTTATGTGGTATTGAGGAATCGAATCCAGGGCCTCATGCATGCAAGGCAAGCGCTCTACCACTGAGCCACCTTCCCAGCCCTCACTTCTGGTTTTCTGAGTGATTTATTGGAGATAAGAGTCTCACAGAGTTTCCTGCCTGGGTTGGCTTTGAACTGTGATCCTCAGATCTCAGCCTCCTGAGTAGCGAGGATTCTAGGTGTGAGCCACCAGCGCCAGGTTAGGGAAGAATCTCTTAAGTCTTGATTTTGAAAACAGGAAAATGGGGAGTCCTTCTCCCCAGGGCTAGTACCTGATGAAGGGCCGAAGCAGGGCCAGAAATGCCTTCACATACCACGTAGCATGGACAACCACTAGGGCTCGTAGGTTTTTCCGGAGCCTGTAGGAGAACATGAGGAAATGGGCTTATTCCTGGTTCCAGCTTCATCCTGGAGATCAGGTGGAACTCTCTTCCACCCTGCAAGCTCCTTGGCTACTCTAATTTCTAGATTTCTCCAGCAGTTGGGTCTAATCCCATTCTATTAGCTGCTGTCTCAGCTCCACCCAGTTTATTTAGCCCTCCACGCTCATTTTTAGGAAATCTTCCTTTCAGAATATCTGAGTCTAGCCTTTTTTTTTTTTTTGGTTGGTCGTGGGGCTTGAACTCTGGGCCTGGGCGCTGTCCCTCAGCTCTTCAGCTCAAGGCGAGCGCTCTACCACTTGAGCTACAGCGCCACTTCCGGTTTTCTGGTGGTTTATTGGAGATAGGAGTCTCACGGTCTCTCCTGCCCAGGCTGGCTTTGAACCGCGATCCTCAGATCTCAGCCTCCTGAGTAGCTAGGATTACAGGCGTGAGCCACCAGCACCCGGCTTAGCTTTTTTTTTTTTTTTGGTCGGTTGTGGGGCTTGAACTCTGGGCCTGGGAGCTGTCCCTCAGCTCTTCTTCAGCTCAAGGCTAGCGCTCTACCACTTGAACAACATCACCACTTCCGGTTTTTCTGATTGTTAATTGGAGATAAGAGTCTCACAGACTTTCCTGCCCGGACTGGCTTTTACCTGGGATCCTCAGATCTCAGCCTCCTGAGTAGCTAGGATTACAGGCGTGAGCCACCAGTGCCCGGCGAGTCTAGCCTTCTTTACCCCATTTCCCTCATGCCCTATTCTGAAAATTCCTTTTGCAAAAATAAATAATTTTGGGGGGTCTGTGTGTGCTGGTACTGGGGTTTGAATTCAAGCCCTCATAGTCTCATTCAGCTTGTTTGCTCACAACTGGTATGCTATCATGCTGAGCCATGCCTCTAGCCCAATATTTTGTTGGCTAATTGGAGATGGTCTCACTCAAATTTTCCTATTCATGCTGGCCTTCATACCATGATCCTCCAAGTCTCAGCCTTTTTAGTAGCTAGGATTACCACCTCTTTTCCTGACCAGGACTATTTATAAAATATCCATTGTGGCTGGAAGAGTAGCCCAAGTGGTAAAGTGCCTACCTGAAAAATAGAAAATAAAAAAAAAAGAAAAAGAAGAAAAATTCAAGTGGAAGAAAATCAATTAAGGAGGAAAAAGGGCAGAAAAAAGAATAGTAAGCAAAGGGAAGATGAGAGAAGCAAAAGAAAAAAGGGAATACAGAAGTAGGAAAAGACATGTAGAACAGGTAGAAGGAAGAGAAGACAATGGTCATGTGGAATGGGAAGTAAACACAGGCTGGAAGAAGAGACAGAGAGCCTTCTGTCAGGAAATATGCTGATTTTTTTTTTATCTCCACAGAGGCCATTTTATAGACGAGGAAACTGAGGCCCAGAAAAGTGAAACAACTTGTCCAGATCATTCAGCTAATAAGTGGTAAAAACAAGATTCAAATAGATAGCCCTGGTGCCAGGAGTAGACCATAAATAGAAGAGGCTTTGGGGAGGCTGGGAAGGTGGCTCAGTGGTAAAGCGCTTGCCTTGCATGCTTGAAGCCCTGGGTTCAATTCCTCAGCAACCATAAGCCAAAATAAAAAAAGCCGGAAGTGGCGCTGTGGCTCAAGTGGTAGAGCACTACCCTTGAGCTGAAGAGCTGAGGGACAGCGCCCAGGCTCAGAGTTCAGGCCCATGACCGGACCCAAAATAAAATAAACAAAAAAGAAGAGGCTTTGGAAGGGGCTATGGAGGAATGAAAGATAAAGAGAATCGAATGAGGCGGTCTACACCTGCAACCTCAGAACTCAGGAGACTAAGAGGGAAGAATTTATTTTTATTTTTTTGAACTGGTCCTGGGGCTTTGAATTCAAGATCTGGGCATTGTCCTTGAGCTTTTATGCTCAAGGCCAGTACCACTTGAGCCATAACTCCACTTCAGCAGTTTTGGTGTTTAATTAGAGACAGGTCTCATGGCTTTCCTGCCTGGGCTGGCTTTTTTTTTTTTTGTAGTTATTTGTGGGGCTTGAACTCTGGGCTTAGGCACTGTCCCTGAGCTCTTCAGGTCTAGGCACAGTGCCACTTCTGTTTTTTTCTGGTGGTTAATTGGAGATAAGAGTCTCACGGACTTTCCTTGCCTGGGCTGTCTTTGAATCGTGATCCGCATATCCTAGCCTCCTGAGTAGCTAAGATTACAGGCGTGAGCCACCAGCGCCCAGTTGGCTTCAAATTTTGATCCTCAGATCTCAGCTTCCTGAGTAGCCAGGATTACAGACATGAGCTATTTGGTACCTGGCTCCAAAGATAGGAGACTATTAAGTTTGAGGTCAGCTTGGGCCACATAGTAAGACCTAATCTTAGAAAAAGAAGTTCGTAAATAAAAAGATGAAGAGACTAAAAAGATGGAAAAGTTTCGAAAAGTGTTTTGTGGTCCTCTTGAGCTACAGTCTTACCGTCGATCCAAAGTACGGTAGCACTGGCGTATCCAGCTCAGAGGGGGAACTTGGGCCCTACTTGTGCCTCCACTCAAGTGAACAAGCAGGTAATTTTCAGCTACCAGCAGCTCTAGGGTTCCCACGATATACCTGAAGGAGGAAATGGTAGGTGAGGTACGTGTTGCTGGTTTGGAGGAATGAAGGGCTATTGTCTATTGATCTTGGACAGGCTTCTTCCCTTCCCTTCTTTATTCCCTCTCTGTGGCTCTTCAGCCTTTGCACCTTACCTAAACAAGTGTTCCATGACATAGGTGTAATTGTGGATGTTGCTTCGGGGTAGATAACAGGAAGCAAAAATGATGACAGCATTGAGACCATCACCATGATGGCCTAGAGGGAAGGGAAAATTCACTTAGGCCACAAATATGAAATGACAGACAGTACCACTGTTTAGGTTGAGGGATGCTGAAGGTTTCTGGAAGTTACAGGAAGGGTGGTGAACCCAAGAGCTGAATCTCCAGCTTAGGCAGTTTAGTCAAGAAGGTATAGTTTTGACTCCTCCATTTCTGTTAACCATTACCTCCATGAGACACGACCTTCTTATAGGGCTCAATGACAGTCATGTCCACTCGCTGCTCCCGCTGTCCTGTTCGAAACACTCTCCAGCGGTGACCATCTTCTCCAGCCACATCCCACACACAACCCCGGCCCAGCCTTTTAGCTGCCTCGCTGGCTCGGAGGCTCTCTGCCCGGGGCAGGTCATCTAAAATAAAGGGGTAGGGAAGAATCCACAGAGTAGATTTCCTACTTTCAGTCTGGGTTCTAACCCTGTACTTTTGTGCTCTACCACTTTGAGCCACTGCGCCATTTCTGGTTCTTTTTAGTTAATTGGAAATAAGAATCTCATAGACTTTCCTGCCTAGGCTGGCTTTGAACTGTGATCCTCAGATCTCAGCCTCCTAAGTAGCTAGGATTACAGGCATGAGCCACCAGTGCCTGACATTCTTCAAATTTATTTACTTATTTATTTCTAGCAGTACAGGGGTTTGAACTCAAGACCTTACACTATCTAGGCATGTTTTCTATGACTTGAGCCATACAACCCAGCCCTCTTTTGCTTTAGGTATTTTTCAGGTAGGGTCTCACATATCTGTCCAAGGTTAGCTTCAGACTTTGATCCTAGAGCCTTTGGCATAGCTAGGACTACAGACATGCACAACTACCTGCCTTATTTATTGAGACAGGGGGTCTCAATAACTTTTGTGACTGACTTAGAACCTTGATTTTCCTGATCTCTATCTCTGTAGCTGGATTATAGGCATGAGCCACTGTGCCCAGCTCATTCCTCAAGTTTTTCTCTTGATCTTTAACCCCAGTGAGTCCAGTTAATCCAACCCCTTACTGGTCTCTTTCTCCTGAGATTCATTAGCCTCACCTTTTCAAGGTCTTAGGGTGACCTTGTACTATGGCAGGTCTATGGCTCTTCCCAGTATCAGAATTTTATCCTCTATATTTTCTATTTATTTTTGATGGTATTAGGGATTGAACTCAAGGCCTTTTACTTACAAGGCAGGCACTCTACCATTTGAGTCATACCTCCAGCCCCATTTGTTTTTAGAGATGAGGTTCTCACTATGTTACCCAGGTTGGCTTTAAACCTGGGATCTTCCCACCTCAGATTCTCAAGTACTTGGGATTACAAGCATGCATCACCACACTTACTTCTCCATTTCTTTCTTTTTTTTTTTTTGGTCGGTCGTGGGGCTTGAACTCTGGGCCTGGGCGCTGTCCCTCAGCTCTTCAGCTCAAGGCAAGCGCTCTACCACTTGAGCTACAGCGCCACTTCCGGTTTTCTGGTGGTTTATTGGAGATAGGAGTCTCACGGTCTCTCCTGCCCGGGCTGGCTTTGAACCGCGATCCTCAGATCTCAGCCTCCTGAGTAGCTAGGATTACAGGCGTGAGCCACCAGCGCCCGGCTCCATTTCTTTCTTTACATGCTTCTTCCAGGCTGAGCTCAACTATTTCTATGTCTTCAATTATAACCAGTAAGGTGACTCTCAAAATAGTCTCTGTTACTCAGATTCATATCTGTAAATGCCTAGAGTGGCATCTCCGCTGGTATCATCTGGTCAGCAAGTCACAGACCCAAAAGAGAACTCAAAATCATTCTATTTTTTCCTCTGCCTTGTATTTCCTATCTTGATCCCATTTACCTCGCTGCCTGAGAGAAAATTATATCATGTAAGACTATCAGGGGCTGGGAAGGTGGCTCAGTGGCAGAGCGCTTGCCTTGCATGCATGAGGCCCTGGGTTCAATTCCTCAGCACCACATAAGCAGGAAAAAAAAGCCGGAAGTAGTGCTATGGCTCAAGTGGTAGAGCCCTAGCCTTAAGCTGAAGAGCTGAGGGACAGCGCCCAGGCTCAGAGTTCAGGCCCACAACTGGACCCCTCCCTCACCCCCCAAAAAAGACTATCAGCACTCAAATCCCCCAGTCCTCTACATCCATCATTTTCTTTGGTCATCATTTCCACTACCACCTCCATGGTTTGGGTTATTAGCATTTCTCACCTGGCATTAGTACTAGCCTCCTAACTGCTCTTGCTTTTATTAGTTTTTTTGGTCCGGTCGTGGGGTTTGAACTCTGGGCCTGGGCGCTGTCCCTCAGCTCTTCAGCTCAAGGCTAGCGCTCTACCACTTGAGCCACAGCGCCACTTCCGGCTTTTTTCATTTTGCTTATGTGGTGCTGAGGAATCAAACCCAGGGCCTCAGGCATGCAAGGCAAGCGCTCTACCACTGAGCCACCTTCCCAGCCCCCTGCTCTTGCTTTTTAACTTAAATGATAATATACTATTCCCACCATCCAGCATGATTTTTCTAGAACACCAGAAAGAACAGCCTCATCTTTAAAAATAGTTGCATGGGGCTGGGGTATGTATATCTCAGTAGTAGAATACTTGCAGTAGTAGAGTAGCATGCAGTTTGCCTTGGATTCAATCCCCAGAATCATAAAATATATTTTAAAAAAAAATCTGAGCACTGAGCCGGGTGCCAGTGGCTCATGCCTGTAATCCTAGCTACTCAGGAGGCTGAGATCTAAGGATTGAAGTTCAAAGCCAGCCTGGGCAGGAAAGTCCGTGAGACTCTTTTTTTTTTGAAAGGTAACTATACACATTTTAATTTAAAACACATATATGTATATATAATACATACATACACACACACACACACACACACACACACACACACACATATCTATTAAAACAAGATTATACACCTCTCACTAGAGAGGCTGACATTATGGACCGGGTCAGCACAGGTCAGCCTTCGGGAAGCGGGTGGTGTGCTGATGGCAGTAGTGCAGGCAGGGCAGGAATAAATAGTAGTGCTTTGGGAGGGGTCCACCCTGGGTGCAAGTGCAGGAACAGCTCCCTAGTGGTAACGTGTGCAAAGCTGCTGACTGCTGGCTGGAAGGGTGTCCCTGAGACTCTTATCTCCAATAAACCACTAGAAAACCGGAAGTGGCGCTGTGGCTCAAGCAGTAGAGCGCTCACCTTGAGCTTAAGAGCTGAGGGACAGCGCCTAAGCCCAGAGTTCAAGCCCTACGACCGACCAAAAAAAAAAAAAAATGAGAACTGGTAGCTCCTACCTGTAGCCCTAGCTACTATTGGATTGCAGTTCAAAGCCAGCCCAGGCAGGAAAGACTATGAGACTCCTCTTATCTCCAATTAACTACCAAAAAGCTAACCTTGAGCAGAAAAGGCTGGGGGATTGTGCCAAGGCCATGAGTTCAAGCACTGACAGACACAGACACAGAGAAACAGACACACTGATATACAGACACATATACAAAGTAAGCTGCTGAGTGCTTTTTTGGCAATGTCTCACTAACCCAGTCTAGGCTGACCTGGATCTCCATCCTCTTGTCTCAGTCTCCTGAGGGCTGGATTACAGAGGTGTATCACCATATCTGCTAGGATGGCTTTTTTTTTTTTTGGTCAGTCGTGGGGCTTGAACTCTGGGCTTGGGTGCTGTCCTTCAGCTCTTCAGCTCAAGGCTAGCACTCTACCACTTGAGCCACAGCACCTTTTCTGGCTTTTTCTGCTCATGTATTGCTGAGGAATCGAACCCAAGGCCTCATGCATGCAAGGCAAGCACTCTACCACTGAGCCACCTTCCCAGCCGCATGGGATGGATCTTTTAGTCTTTCAACATGACCAAATTACTCCCATGATTAAATTTTGCACATTATTCCCCAGTGCCTACAACACAAATGTAGACTCCTTAGCATGGCAGCAAGTGCCTCTGGATTCGACCTTTGCCTGCGTGACCCAGCGCTCTCCTTTCATATTCTTTTTTCACTTCCCAGCCTTTCTTGTATGCAGTCATGCTTCATACTTTGAATTCCCCAGCTTCCATGCTATTTCTTTGTGGTTTAGTTTTCAAAGTTCACCAGAGAATCACCTCCTCTGTAAAGTCTTTCCTAACAGACACTGACCTTTGCCTTCTCTACTGTATGCTCAGCACATGTAGAACCTAACCTTTAATTGCCATTATTTGTATATAATGTTTATTTCCTACTAAACAGAGTATTAACTTAGAGGAAGGGCTACTTTGCTTGTCTTTATAAATCCCTGGTATAGTAGTATAAAGCTGTAATCCCTATACTTAGGGAGGCTGAAGCAAGAGTACTTCTAGTTCTAGACCAGCTTAGGCTACATAGTGAGATCCTCATCTCAGAACAAAACAGAACTAGGCACTGGTGGATCATGCCTGTAATTCTAGCTACTCAGGAAGCTGATATCTGAGGATCATGGTTCAAAGCCAGTCTGGGCAGGAAAGTCCATGAGACTCTTATTTCCAATTAATTACTAAAAAGCCAAAAGTAGAGCTGTGGCTCAAGTGGTAGCTTGCTATCCTTGAGCAAAAGAAGCTTAGAGACAATGCCCAGGCCCCAAGTTCAAGCCCCAGGACTAGCACAAAACAAAATAACCCTATTAAATCCATCCTGAGTCCTTGGATTAGTTTCCCACCTTCCCATTCGAATTCATGTCCACTGTCCAGCTGCTCTGAGTCTGAAGGCGTCTCCAATTCATCCACCTCCAGGTCTGAACTGTCATCAGAGGAAGATGTGGAGTGGGTGGAAGGAGCTCCATTATCACTGGGCCCCACTGTCAGATTCAGCCTCAACTCTGGGGCAGAAAGACGTTTACGCATGGGGCGCTGGCCACACAGAGATAACGTGCTTGGGGTACCTGGGGTTGGAGAGAGGGAGGAAAAAAATACATAGAAAGATGTGAGTTGGTGGCAGAGGGTGGGGGCTAGAATTCCTAAATATAGAAATACAGATATAAGCCGGGCGCTGGTGGCTCACGCCTGTAATCCTAGCTACTCAGGAAGCTGAGATCTGAGGATTGCAGTTCAAAGCCAGCCTGGGCAGGAAAGACGGTGAGACTCCTATCTCCAATAAACCACCAGAAAACCGGAAGTGGCGCTGTGGCTCAAGTGGTAGAGGCACTAGCCTTGAGCTGAAGAGCTGAGGGGCAGCGCGCAGGCCCAGAGTTCAAGCCCCATGACCGACTAAAAAGAAAAAAAGAAATATACATATATGATATGATGATAAGGGAAAACATGAAACAAAGTACCACGGGGGATATTTGGAAAAGGGGGAGACAGAAATGCAAAGGAATACAGATAACCCTTCAGTGCACTAGAACCAAAAACTTGAGGTCTAGCTGCTATCAAACCTACCTGCCTGTGAGTCTCTTTGAGAGTCTTCAGGATCTTCAGAAGGACCAACCTCTTCAGGAAGCAATCTAGAAGGGAAAAGATTAAAAGGGACTCATAGACACAGCAGACTAAAGGCATCAAATTAGGTCTTAGCTTATCTTTCCCCACCACACCATAAATATACCACCCACCCAGCGTCCCACCGCTTCCCATCCAGTCCTAACGCATCCTCCCTGCCCTATATTTGTGATCATCTCACCTAGGGAATTCTTCATCTTGCCATTCCTCCTTCAGCTCCAGCTCCTCAAGTCTCAGGCTTGCTCCCGATTCTGTTGCTTCTACACTCTCCTTGTCCCTAAGATAGTCCCCCAAAAGAAAAAAATAGACAATCTGGAGTGTCCTGAGTGAGTGTAACTACAGTACAATGGACAGGCCATTAAAAGAACTCATCTGCTGGGTGCTGATGGCTCATGCCTTTAATCCGTGCTACTCAGGAGGCTGCAATCTGAGGATCATGGTTCAAAGCCAACACAAGCAGCAAAGTCCATGAGATTCTTATGTCCAATAATCCCTCAGCAAACTGAAAGTGGTGCTATTGTTCAAAGTGGTAGAGCGCTAACCTTGAGTGAAAAAGCTCAGGGATAGCGCCCTGAGTTCAAGCCCTAAAACTAGCACCAAAAAAATAAAAGCAATCAAAAATCCCATCTCTTATCTCCATAGATGTTTCTCCCACCTTCACTGTCTGCTAGAACCAAAAGCACCCACTGATCAGTGTAGGAGCAAAGAAAATAGAATATAAAGCTAATCATAATTTACCATTATGGCAGTGACTCCACCTACAATGTAAGGGTGAGATGTCCCATATTACAATTGCCTAGAACCCAGATAAACCTGTCCCAGCCATCCCTGGGCAAAGTTGGGAAAGATGGCACCTAACCAGGCCCGCCTTTCTCCTACCAAGCAGGGGAGTGGCTAGGGGAACAATGGAGGAGGGAGGAGGTGAGAGATTTGCTGGGGAAGAACTTGGCTCTAAGTGGAGTTCTGAGTCATCTTTTCTGATGGATATTCTAGAGGATGGGAGACAGAAAAAGAAAGAACATGGGCAGACTTATCAGAGACTAAAGACAAACTTTCACTTTTTGTTGTTGTTGTGGGACTTGAACTCTAGACCTGGGCACTGTCCCTGCACTCTTCGGCGAGTGCTCTACCACTTGAGCCACAGCACCATTTCCAGTTTTCTGGTTAAATGAAGAGTCTCACAGACTTTCCTGTCTGGTCTGGCTTTGAACCATGATCCTCAGATCTCAGCCTCCTGAGTAGCTAGGATTATAGGCGTGAGTCACTCAGCACCCTCTGGGCACCTGGCCTTCCTTTAACTTCTAAACCCACCCCAGCCCTCCTCTGCAAATTACCTCTTAGAAGTCTTTTTCCTTAGAGGAACCCAAGATCCAGCTTAGTAAGGGCTGGATGGTAGGAAAAGTCCCTCACTCACCGATTCCAATCAAATGCGCCAACCTTTGACTTACCCAAGATCTGATTTTTTTTCTGCTTCGTGTATAGTCCCCATCTCCACAATCTTCTTCTGTTCTTTAAACAAAAGAGTTGCAAGGGAGCTGGCTGTCCTAGTCCCCCCAATACTTCTTTACCCTTTTCTGGCTCAGCTGTTGTTGCTCTTGCCTCTCAGGAAGAGGGAGGTGTGGAAGGGAGGGAACCTCAACTTCAAACTGGTTTTGTCACCTCTCCTCCCAAGGAGCAGGTTTGCCCAAAAGAAAAAGCCTGCCTCCTATGTGGGGGCGGGTTTGGGGGAGGAGAGTGTTTACTAAGGTGGCTAGTCACTAATACTTTGGTTATAAGACTATCTTGGGCCTGACTATCTTGAGCCTACTTTTTATTGTAAGTAAAACTGGAGATACGTATCTTACAAGGAAGGTTCTAGGAGAATGAATAAAAGAAAAAAAGAGAAGGGGAAGGATTCAGACCTTGTGGCTCAGAGACAACAAAAAAAGTAGAGTGGGAAGGAGGCTGAAAAAATTACTGAAGGAAAAAGCCTGATATTTGTAAAAAGAGACAATAAGACCTCAAACAGGAAAAAAAAAGTATTTAATACTTTAACAAAATGCAAAATAAGGTACCCAAGTTACAAAACATAAATTCCTTTGGTTCAGTAATCACACGACCATTTTTACATTCCAAATGGCTACAGACCTTGTACCCTTAAAGTCACACTGTCCCCCTCACACTGGAAGATGTCATGCCAAATCCCTCACATACCCCGCTGCTGGGTGAAATGCTGGCAACTTACATGGGGTATGGAAAGGGGGGAAGAGGTTGGTCAGAAGAAAAAAGGGAGATTACACATGCAGAACAAGTCAATGGAAGGAGCTCTTAGTTGGGTCATCATGGTATGAATCAATCACACCCCTGTACATGCTACATGAGGCTAAGTCCCATCACACATAAACACAGACAGTCCAGTGACCCCGAGCGTTCCCAATGAAAATACAGAGAAGTAGAGGAGAGAAAGCAAGGCAGCCAGAGGCAGACCACAGAATACCAGGGAACATCTAGTCCAAACCTTTGTTTTACAGATGAGGAAAACGAGACCTGGAGTAAGGAAATGTCAAAAGACACACAGTTTATGGCAGTCAGTATTAGAGTTGCATACTGCTTTTTAACATGAACAAAAAAGAGGAAAAAGGGTGGAGGAGGGGGGAAAGAAAGTAAAGTTGGGGGAGGAAAACTGTCTTCTGTGAGCAGTCATACCAGGGTTCTTATTCCAGTTTGGTTGTCTTTTGGGAAAAGTGCCTATGGAGTCTTAAAGTCTTCCCTAGTGCCTTCTGAACTCTCAAGAACCAGAGATTGGGTTCTGATTGTCTATCATTCTGTACAGTGCCCGCCTAGCAAGCTAGAGGCCCTGAGTTCAAAACCCAGTATCAAAACCAAACCAAACTATGGGGCTGGGAAGGTGGCTCAGTGGTAGAGCGTTTGCCTTGCATGCATGAGGCCCTGGGTTTGATTCCTCAGCACCACATAAGCAAAAAGAAAAAAGCCGGAAGTGGCGCTGTGGCTCAAGTGGTAGAGCATTAGCCTTGAGCTGAAGAGCTGAGGGACAGCGCCCAGGCCCAGAGTTCAGGCCCCACAACTGGACCCCCCAAAAAAAACAAAAAAACAAAAATCAAACTAAATTCACAGGGATCTTCAGGTTTCTTCAAGTTTCTTTTGGCCCTGTGAGAGTGAGACCCAAAGAAAGGTTGGGTTGGGAAGGTGGTTCAGGGGTAGATGCCTTGCATGTATGAGGCCCTGGATTTGACTCCGCACCTTGGCACTGTGGCTCAAGTGGTAGAACGTTAGCCTTGAGCTGAAGAGCTGAGGGACAGCGCCCAGGCCCAGAATTCAGGCCCCATGACTGACCAAAAAAAAAAGAGGTCAAGAAAGAAGATAATGGACTCCAATTTGCTCCAAGTAAAACATGAAATACTTACAATAAGCTCAGAAGACAGAGTTCAAATCTTTGAATCAAACACCATCATCTAACTGAAGCCAAAAGAAGAGAGAGAGTTCAAAATCTAGTGAAGGCTGAAAACTGGAAGAAGAGTTTCTAAAACATACTCCTTTTGGTTCAAAGTAGATATTCAATGAAGACTTGAATGAAAAAAATGAATAACTGCATTAACGGAGACCAGCAACAAACATTGAATTCTGTGACAGATACTGATTCTGTTTACAATCCTTACTCAGGGCACTTTTGGGGTCTACATTCTTTTTGTCCCCTCTGCTAGGACACTGAGTAATATTATAATGTATCCCTGGAAAATCAGTGCAGATTTAAATAATAATAAAATTAAATAATAAAATCTGATTTGATAAGAGATTGGAGGGAAAAGGCAGAAAGCCATTCTTAAAAGCAGCTGCTTTCCTTCCCTTCTTTCTCCTCACAGTTTTATGAGAACAGTACACTAGATCCTGGAGCAATAAAAGACACGATCGCTGAACTCGCCAAACATTTCAAAACATGCACTAGAGGTGACTAAGCCACCTCCCCTACTCTTCCTAGCCCTTCTCTCCCCAGAGTCACTTGTTTGATGGAGAGGCATTGGCAGACTGCGACAGCGAGATCTGACTGCACTTCTCGAAGACGGCCTCTGCTGAGAGCTTGGGCAGCCCCTGGTCCAGAGGGCACTCATCCACCAAGCTGTTCATGGGCGTGGGGGGCAGTGGAGGGTCATCTTCATCTTGACTCAGTCCAGAAATCAGGGTGTTAGTTGCCCTGTCCGATTCCTTGTCCACCTGTTCTCTGGACATGTGTGCTGTCTCGGGCTGCCCTGAAGGGATCTTCATGGAGTCAAAATATGCTGAGAGGGCTTCTTGGAGCAAAGGCAGAAGTTTCTTTCGAGAGACCTGTGTGTTGCCTTGAAGATAGGCTTGGAGGTCAGGGTGGATGCTTGGCATAGAGGTCAACTTCAGGGCTGGGGAGTGGGAGCGTTCCAGGACTCCACAGATCTATAAAGGAGACAAGAAGGGAAGTGATACATAGCTTTGTGTAGCAAAGAGCTGAGGCTTCTAAGCAAGAGGCTTCGACAAAGGAGGCAGACTTCAGTTTTAATGCTTGCAACAAAAGAAACATAAATTTCATTTTAATAAGGAAATCTGAGCTAAGAGACATTATCTACAGTGAGAGCATGTGGATGATAATAGAATCTGAGCTAGAACCCAGGGGCCCTCAGCTCTTAAACTAATGGAGGTTTTTTGCTGACACTGGGTTTGAACTCAAAGAGTCTGAGCACTGTCCTTTAGCTTTTTCTACTCAAGGCTGGTGCTCTATTACTTAAGCCTGTGAGAAAAGCATCTTTTCTTTCTTTCTTTTTTTTTTTTTTGGTTGGTCGTGGAGCCTAAACTCTGGGTCTGGACGCTGTTCATCAACTCTTCAGTTCAAGGCTAGCGCTCTACCACTTGAGCCACAGCACCACTTCCAGTTTTTTCTGCTAATGTGGTGCTGAGGAATTGAACCTCATGCATGCAAGGCAAGCGCTCTACCACTGAGCAACCTTCCCAGCCTCCCTCCCACTTTTTTTTGGTTGGTTGTAGGTCTTGAACTTTGGGCCTGGGCGCTGTCCTGAGTTCTTCAGCTCAAGGCTAGTGCTCTACCACTTGTGCCACAGCACCATTTCTGGTTTTCTGGTGGTTTATTGGAGATAAGAGTCTCAATGGGGCTGGTAAGGTGGCTCAGTAGGATCTTTTCTATCAAAGCAGTTTGTTTCCTTTCTGTTAATCTTGAGAGAACTGTTTTTCTGAAGGGTTTGGCCAGGTAGCTTAGTCCTTGTTTACTGCATCCTTTTCCTAAGCACCTTTAATTAAGACAACCTGCTAGTAGTTCCTTGAATTTTAACCACATCCTATTAAGCAAGCCACATCCTTTTGCAGATAGTTGAACCTGAGCTCAGCTAATGTGAGCAGAGGGGTAGAATGTGCAGGGTTAGGGATAAAAAGGGATCAGCCTACCTGGGTGCTGGTGGTTCACGCCTGTAATCCTAGCTACTCAGGAGGCTGAGATCTGAGGATCGAGGTTCAAAGCCAGCCAGGGCAGGAGAGACCGTGAGACTCCTATCTCCAATTAACCACCAGAAAACCGGAAGTGGCGCTGTAGCTCAAGTGGTAGAGTGCTCACCTTGAGCTGAAGAGCTGAGGGATAGCGTGCCCAGGCCCAGAGTTCAGGCCCCACAACCGACAAAAAACAAACAAAAAAACAGAAAAAGTGGCACTGTGGCTCAAGTGGTAGAGCACTAACTAGCCTTCAGCTGACAAGCTCTGGGATAGCGCCTGCCCCAAGACCACAAAAAAAAAAAAAAAATAGCCTGGCTCTGTGCTTGCTTGTCTTTTGGCTGATGGCACATCTTTCTGCAGAAGTAAACTTTGCCGAGTAATGTTCGTGTGTTTATTCTTTTTTTTTTTTCTTTTTCTTTTTGGGTCCGGTCGTGGAGCCTGAACTCTGGGCCTGAGCGCTATCCCTCAGCTCTTCAGCTCAAGGCTAGCACTCTACCACTTGAGCCACAGCACCACTTCCGGCTT